GTTTAAGAGCAGCACCCTTCCTAGGCAAAACGTCATATATATATATATATATATATATCTGTAGCGAAAAACTGTTTGAAACTGTAGTATTTCTTTATATAAATATTTACTGCGGACATTTTTTGGACCGATTGAACCATATTGCATACGAACAATCTTTGGTAGGCATATACTATAATTATAGATCTATATAATATCCGAAATTTGGGGGAAAGGATGTGATTTCAGAGTATTCGGAGAAATAGTGCCCAGCTTTATTTTCCCGAGCGTTCGGAGAAATAGTGCCTAGCTTTATTTTCCTGAGCGTTCGGAGAAATAGTGCCCAGCTTTATTTTCCCGTGCGTTCGGAGAAATAGTGCCCAGCTTTATTTTCCCGAACGTTCGGAGAAATAGTGCCCAGCTTTATTTTCCCGTGCGTTCGGAGAAATAGTGCCCAGCTTTATTTTCCCGAACGTTCGGAGAAATAGTGCCGGCCCAAAAAAAATTTAATCAACTTGATTAAAAAAAATAAAAATTAATGATTTAGATCTAGATCTAAATCACTTTAAAATATATTTTTATTCAGTTTTTACATATTTAAGCTTTCAGAATGCCTTTCCATGGTTTTATAAAACAAGTAAGGTTTAGTAAACTAATATAATCATGCTTAAAAGTCTGCTTTTCCCCCCTGTCACTGTAAAATAGTAGCCTACACAATTCAATTTACTTTTTTTTTCATAATTGAAATTAGGAATTTTTTTTCAGACAAACACAAGCGCGCACACCCACACCTACACACACTCCCACTCACAGACTAAGGAAATGCATGTGTAGAGTTATTAACGGTAAACTTAATAATTTATTAAATGTCAGATCAAATCAATAGTCACTGAGGAGAATAAAAACATTAACAAATAAATCAGAAACAATGTAACAAAAATAATAATTCAGATTTAATTGCAAGGAACGAAATGGCAACTTAAGGAATTTTGAAAGTAAATATCGTATTACAATAACCAACAATTTAGATCATGTTGAAATTACCTACCCATTGAGTTGTTTTGGGTTGAAGGTTTTGAAAAGAAACACAATAATACAGTAGATCTGTTCAATTTACTTTTTTTTCATAATTGAAATTAGAATTTTCTTTTTTTTTAGACAAACACAAGCGCGCGCACACACGCACTCACATTGTTATTGTAATAAAATGCAAGTTTTTCTTTTAGACTGACATAATATTTTAGAGTTCTTAATTTTTTTTGTCTGTAGCCCTGAATAAACTGATATAGAATCTAACAGGTTAAGGCTTTCTTTTGAAGTTGCTTAAATTAATCATTAGTTAAAATATATTAAAGACGATGCATTTTGCACTAAAGGAACATACTTTTAGCCACTAAAATTTCCAAACTGTGTCATTTAAAAAAAAATAAAAAAATAAAAAATCCGATTTATATAGATCTATATAGTCAAAACAAAATCTGATTTATTAAGAAAAATCAATTAAAAAAAATTGTTATAAAAAAAAAAAAATCACCGACCCTGATCGCTCCAATAGTGTACTAAATTCCTGTTCTGCCAACTTTCAAGTGCCCTGGTTTTGCACCGTTATCATATTGTTATTTAATCTAAGGCTATCTCAGCCAGACGCTACATATTCCGTCGTCACCGTCCAAGAAAAGTCTAGATTTAAAAAAGTTTAGTGTTATAATTCAATAGGCCTATTGAGTGTAGGCCCTAATGTTATTTTCCTGTTATCGCAGGATAAATAAACGTAGGCCCAATTATGACATTCAGCATGTGTCACTTCACCGATGTTGGAATTGTGATCTCTTCCATAGGGCAGTAGAAAACATATATTTCTCCTTTTTCTCCTGAGATCTAATTAACAACTTGTGTCTCTCTCTCTGCCAATATTCCCCACCCCCCATTTTCTCTTTTATTCTGTCTCATTCTTTCTTTCACTCTTCTTTTCTGTCTTTCTTTCTATCTCATCTTCTCTCTCTCTCTCTCTCTCTCTCTCTCTCTCTCTCTCTCTCTC